TAACCCCAACACTGCTTACTTGCTTCATGGTTTCTCTGGAGTTGAGGTCTGACTTAAAGCAGTTCATAAATAGACTTCAACAAACTTATAGAAATCCTTTTAAGAATTCTTCAACACAAAGTGTTCTTAGTTATATTTCTCCAGGAGGTGATGGTTCCATTTAAAAAAAAATCACTGGCATGTTGGAATGTGTGACAATAGAGATAGTCTCAGATGTAATGCTCATGTTGATAAATGGGTTTCAAAGTAAGGGGGACAAAGAATCTTAAGTCATCACAGTCAGTCTTGGTCAAGTACTAAACCATCATGAACGTTTTCGTTCATTCTCTCATCCATCAACACTTTCTAACTGCTTAGGTGCTGGAGAACAGTGGGGAAAACAGGCAAGATCACTGTAGGTCACAACTCACTGGTGTGGCCTGTGTGATTAATGGTGATGGGAGTGGAGGTGACCGGAAGCCACAGTGCTCAGAGTCATGCTGCTTAGAAGTCCTGCTCTCTGTCACCCACACCACACAGCAAAGAAGCAGGATGGGAACCCCAACCCCAATGTGTCTCCTTCCTGTGATGCATGGCAAATGCAAATGTCAGATGTTTTATTTATTTGATATCACAATATGAGGAAAGAATGAACAGTGCAAGTGTATGTCTGTCAAAAAAAAAATCTATACCAAGAGAAAGCAATGAGCAAACCAAACCTCTAATGTGTAATTTTTGATGTGTTTGCTCTTTGTGACCTAGACAATAAAATTTGGTCTCATTAAAATGTGCTGAGAGCAGCATTCTAGGGACATAAAAATGCGAATAGCATTCTGTTCTTCATGAATCTCTCACATGACAAGAAACACACAACACATACGTACATACAAATCTAAGAGCGAAATCTATAGTGCTGTGTTCTAAACATGCAGATGTCTTCCCTTTTGGAAGAGATGGTATTTGAACGATTTTTCATCAGAGTCCTATTTTAACAAAGTAAGAAATAGAGGGTGAGTGAGGCCTACCATGAGCAAGACGGGTTTACGACAGAACTGTCTGTACATAATGATCTAGGTCAGGTCAACACCTCCCACCTGGGGGAATTGCACAAACACTTACACAGCAGAGATCATGTAGAATATAGAGATCAGTAGCTCCATGTGATTCTACGTGTCAGACCCACAGTAAGCTAGAGACCCATGGGAGAAAATGCCATGTCCGCTCTTCAATGGCAACTGGAAGAAGCAAGAGGTAGATATGCTCACTTTCTAGGTATCAATATTCTTGAATGAGCAGGTACTGATGAATAGACTCTAATTGGGAGTGGGGGTTCTGGGGAGACAGCTCAGCAGCTAAGAGTGAGCACTGCCCTTGAGGAGGACCATAGTTCAGTTTTCGGGAACACACAGTGAAGCAGGCCTCTGTCAGTACCTGCAGCTCTCAGGAATTTGAAGCCCTCCCCTGGCCTTCAGACACCTGCGCTCACACATACTCCACCCTCCCACATACATTCATGCATAATTAAAAACAATACCTATATATGTGTATGTATGCATGTATTTCTTTAAGAATCGGAGAGAGGACGCCTTCCCCGACTACAGCTTCTGCTTGCGCTATCTGGAGTTGTTTCGCATGCGTTGAGTGTTTACCATATTCTAGGCGTCATATGCGTTTTACAGGCTTTTGCCCATACCTTACCCACACCCTGCATGCCCTGACTTGCAGAAGGGGATGTGGTAGGGTTGATGAGCTGACTCATCATGTCCTTTCTCACGGGGAGCATTTCTTGTGTGCACGTCAGAGAAGGCCACAAATGACTGCACAAGAAAGGCATCAAAAGGTTGCTGGTTTCGTGACTAAGATTGGATTTTTAAAATCTCAGAAAGTTTGACAATGTAAACAACAAACGAGATGTGCTGGGCAGGAGACCAGGGAATCGAATGTTTCAAGCCTATGTCACTAGAAGGACACCTAGGACATAAAGAGCATGGGAAGGCTGCATCCGATAGGGTAGCAAATGTATTTCTCTTTTTCACACAGTGAATAGTGTTGGAGGATTACCAGGGGCTTCTCAGCATTAAGCACAACCTATCAGCTCTACAGACACCAAGTCTTCTCTTCGGGCTCTGTTGTATAAGAAGGCTTAAAGGGCACAGAAGGGAAGAACTTTTTGCTCCAGAAAGTCACATCAGAGGCTGGCCAGATTGAAATCAGGTGCAAAGACATCAGTTTGGGGCTGAAAATGTAGACCAGTGGTTCACACTTGCCTTATATGTGAGAGGCCCTAAGTTCAAGTCCCCACAATGGAAAATAGCAACAGAAGGAATTTCTATCTGGATCCAAGAAAAAGGGCTAGCAATGGAGACTAATAAGGAAGGCTGAGGTCAGAGTCATATTTTACATGAGAGAATCAGTACCCAAGATAAAAAAAAAAATTATGTCTAATCTGGGAGTGGCTGCCCAAACCAGGAAAGTTAAAAGGGGACTATTACTGGAGTAGGGGGATGGAGGAGCAATAGAAAAGAAGGAATAACAGGGTACAAGTGATATGATCAGACAAATGAGAAAAGGAAGGGGCTCTAACAAGGGAGGAGGAAGAGGTGCAAACAGGAGGAGGAGAGTGGAGGGTAAAATAACCGTAAAGGTATCTGAAAAAGTCATAGGAAATTATACTATTAACTGTCTTCCTAAAAACTCAATTACAACAAAGTCTGAGTATAAATATGCATATATACATACATAGTATAAATATACATATATGAATAAAATTTTCTTATCTGGGTTAACAATGTTCCCTCCAAGAGCCAAAGATCAGATAACAAAAACCCAATACCATGCAAGAGAAGTCCTTTCGAGTTGCTGATCAATGCTGCTCAGGAGATTCCCCAAGCATCAGAGGCTACTGCTATTGTACTTGACTGGCCCCCAAAGGAGGAGAGTAAGTCCCCACTGTTGAAGACAACAAGTACTTCAGAAATAGGGCCTGGAGGTCACCGACCTGACTCCTTGAGGACTAAGCTTTCATAGTGCCAGAAGGTGCCCTGAAATCTTACAAAGGAAGAAAGCAACCAGCAGTCTTACCTACCCATGGTTACCATTAATCAATGATCAGTGAGGCATGATCACCCTGGGGATGCAGTAGTGGCGCACAGGCTTTGGTGGTAAACAGTAGCTTTCCAATTCAACTCAACACCCACTAAAGAAGGAACATACGCAACCGCAAGAACGAGATGGAGAAATGATTCTGAGCCATGAAGTCTCAAATCCACCGCAGGTAAAGGCTGGTCAGGCTTCTGGGCTAGATGGACAAGGGCAGGTGGCAGACAGCCACAGACCAGAGACTGCGGCTGTGGTGACTGCCCCAAGGAAGTATTCGCCCCATCAGCAGTGGCCGTCCAGGCATACTCAGGGCAGTTCTGTCGCAGGTCTTCAGGAATTAACTCGTCCTTGACTACAGTCCTTTTGAGAAGTCTTCTCCCCTCTCAACACAAGGTATGAAAGCAGGCCCAGAGAGTTTAGATGGCACCCGTGCCCAGTAAGTAGAGCAATGGGATGTGCATCAGGGAATCCACTCTGGAGCCTGTGTATTATAGATTGCTGTGTTGACTAAAAGGAACTACACACTCGCAGCAACCCATTGCTAATGTCTGGTGGGGCAGGTAGGAGAGCAGCTGAGGAAGGAAAACTTTTAAGTCAGAGGGCTTCCGAATTCTCAACCATAAAAGAAGTGGATACTCTTCTGTTCATCTTTCTGAACCTGGTACGTCCATCCATAGCATGACAAACTAGGCAGTCCTGTGCATGTGCCACAATGTCTGCAGATGTCTTCTGAGCAGCAGCACATATGAGATCCAGTCATCAGTTGATCATTCTGAAGATATGCATTCTCAAGCAACAAATGTCAACTCAAAACAGTCTCCATTGTCCCGTTTTCTTAATTGATTCTTATTGACATAAAAAGGGGTTTTATGTATGATTTATTTAAAACACTTTTTATTATTAGAGATAAGTTTAGGTAGACTTTTTTATGGCTTCTATTCCTTACTCTGTCCCTTTTTAAAAATTCATCTACATAAGTCAAATAAACTATTTCTTCTTCAAGTTGTTTTGATCACGATGCTTCAACACAGCAAGAAGAACCCCAACTAAAACACAACCACACGTTTTTCTTTTAATTCAAGCGTCTTTAAAACATATTAGCTAAGACTTCTAAAATTATCTTCCATCTGAAGATGATTAAAAATAAAGAAACAGAGAGTATGTGAACTGGCCCAGGCCAGAGCATAGGAATGGATGTGAGGGTAACATCTGTGAATCTGGATAACAACAGCTGGGAAAGGGAAGGCGCTTCCCTGTATTATATCCACTCCTATGAGACCCAAGAGTAACAAAGCCACCTAGCTGCTTGAAGTTGCTTCATTTATTTTCATCACTACTAGCACACAATAGTTTTTGTACATAATTTATTAAAAATAACTGGAAATATTTTTGACAAAATATTAATGACTCTATTGCAAACATAACTGGTATTCCAAATTCTTCCAAATCTTTGTTCTGAAAAATAATTGTTATAAGCCAGCCTGGTGAATTCAAGCCAGACACACAGGAACAATCACACCCATCACAAGTGCACCTAGAATATCCGTGCACCGAGTGTAAGTGCTGAGCTCACTGAAGGAGGTGTGACCTCTGATCTATGGTTGGCTATGAAGTCTACTCATGTATAAATTCTTAACAGTTTTAGATCATTTGGCCAATTTCTACATTTGATAAAAGCTGTAATTATGAACTATTTTAAAAATAATTTTACAACCACGTAATTATGACTAGCTATAGCATCTAAAAAGTTATGAAATTGTTATCCCAGAGATGGACTGAAATTCTTATGCCAAGAAGTTTAGTTCAAATACCATCACTGTTTCCCATTTCCAGTGTCCCTGAATTAAAGATAGAAATCATAAATGTGCCTTTCTACACTAGATAGCCACATCCTACTTCTAACTACATTATTGTTGTTTCTGTTATATAGACTGTTGTTTTTAACAGATCATGAAAGAGTCTTAGTTTCAATGGAAAAATTAAAACTTCTTCACTAAGGACAGAAATGAAGCAATTACCAAATATTCCAAAACAAAGCTGCTATTACATTGACCTTAAGAAAACTGATAATGCACATGCTTACATACCAAAGAAAAACCATTTTATGAAAAAAGACAATGTTTGAGAACTTTTGGATTCTCCAATCCAAGTACAAGTTTCAGAATCAACAGGAGAGGGAAAAAACGGAAGTGGAGAGGGGATGGGAATGTAGACTATTTGGCATTTCACAGAAAACAAAAAAACAAACAAAAAAAACCTTGCAAGAGTAACAAAAATACATTTTAAAGAAATTTTGAAGTCTAAATTTAACTAACAAAGTCAATACAAAGGAGATGTAGATTCAGTGTAGGATTTCACCCAGAATAGAACCGAATGGAACTATAAACACACTCAATGGCTGCCTGGCAGTCTACGTTTGTCCTATAAAGTCAAGCCATGCTACGAGAATAAAACAAATGTAAGACACAGAATATACAGTTTAGAATGTTTGGGAAAACAGCAGTTTCCAAGCACCATATGGAAAAAAATCAGTTAACCCATTAACTGGAAATAACGGTTTCTACAGTCTCCAGTTGGGGTATAGGTCAAGTAGTCCATAAATAGATTCAGACCCATTAAATTTTATTGCGCAATAAGTTGGTTGATGTCATTGTGCCCAATGTAAGCAGTAATGTAGATTTCCTTAAAGTTCCACCTGTAGATGACACCTGGGTAAGAAGGAAACAATTAAAACCCATGCAGAACGGTTTTCAAGTTAAAATATACTGAAGTCCAAGGTCTTTCTGTAAATCTGCATTTCTGGAGATTCTGCAGACCAAGGCAGGCTGCGGGGGGAGCCCCAAATACAATATCTTCTTTTTTGAAAAACCCTAGTTTATATTTAAAAGTAGGTAGGAAAAAGTAATAATTCCATTAGTTTGGTTACCCCGGTAGGCGTCCTTCACCTCTTTGTGCATACTTCTGCTAATGTCCTAAATTTAGGCTCCAAATGATCCAAAAACTCAAGTCCGTCTTCTTCTGGTTGCTCACTGCAGCAACCTACAGAGCCAGCGGTTGAGCCTCTTCCTTCATAGCTGTACGTGAGGACGTAGTCTTGAGCGAGCGTCTGATTGTCATTCTCGTGGCACAACTGCACCTTCTGCCAGGGAGAAAACACAACACATTTTATTTTTATTATTTTAAGCACCAAAATGTACTTACAGAAAAAAAATTTCTTTGATTTACCTTTCATTGTTTAATTTTTAATCAGACTGTGTCCTCTAATGGTTTCCTATGTGTAGAAAATGCACATGATTGGTCTGCATCATAAAATTACACCAGAAAGTCAGTCTTAGCATGCTTCTAAAAGTCCTGAATGGCAGTAAGTAACCAAGTGTTCATTTTAAGTGGCCATTGCTTCCTGCTCTCTAAATAATGATAAAAGTGAATGCACACTCAGTAAGCTGAACCCAAACTGATGTGGGCACCGCTCCCTCTGAACAGCCAAGTGATGGTACATATTGCCTTGTGCTAGATGTTGGGCTGCTAAAACAACATTTGTCAGACACAAAATCATAGCACAAAATTATTTCCTTAAATAGTAATAAAAGCCATTGGGTGGTGATGGTGCATAACTTTAATCCCAGCACTCAGGAGGCAGAGGGAGGTGGATCTGAGTTTGATGCTAGTCTGGTCTACAAAGTGAGTTCCAGGTCAACCAGGGCAACACAGAGAAACCATGTCTCAAAAGAACAAAAAGCAGCAACCAAAAGAGTAATAAAATCAATAAAATATACAGGAAAGTGAATGACCACATTAAACCCAAATTAATTAAAAATAGTAACCTTCCAATAAGCATAATCATCATTAACTGAAAGTAGCTGTCTACACAAACACTAAGTTGGAACATTTTGTAAAATTTAAATTTTAGCAACAAAAGTTTGAGGAACAGCTCAGAAACTCACTTCACCAAGTCGGGGCTGCGTGAAATTGTGCCACTCGGAATAAGTGTATCTGAAGTTGTCCACCTCCACGTGTCCTCCTCTGCAGGGATCCAGGGTGTGGTGATGGCCGGCCACGCGGCAGGAGTCTAAGGTCTGGTGTCCTCCGTTCACCATCTCAATGGTCTCTTGCCCTCCGCCTTTGGCTCCTGCTCCCAACATTCCCACAGCTGCCTGCCCAGAAGCTCCCACAGTTTGAGTTGTGAAGCCGTTTGCGGAATACTGAAAAGACAATGGCGCGCACCGGTTAAATATACAGAGGAGCAAACACAGGAGAAGATTGCATTACAAGGCAATCTCTCCAAACACACGGACTGGATCGGCTGTTTGTCTTTTCAACCGTGTGTACCTCTAGCATGCGCCCTGTACTAGATGCCATGTCTAACGCAAGAAAGAAACTGCAGGCACAAATCCCAAAGTTTGATGTAGGTCCCGCTTTTAAACACTCCTTAGCATGCTGGGCAGGTTCCGTTACAGCTTTCCAAAGCTTTGAAAGCAGCATTCCTGTGTCACAGGGATTGTGTCTCAGCGAAACCCATCCCATCCACCTTTACAGGCAAGGGAAGAGACAGAAATAATGACATGCTTTCTCGGTCTATACGAACTCAGTTCCTTCCAACTCAAATACAAAGAAAATTTGCAATAAACACGAAATCCCTTCAGATCTACATAAATCAAGCAATGAACTAGGCAGAAAAAAAAAATACCAAAAATGCCAACACTCCTCTTCCAGGTTGTGTGTTTACATCCTGAAATAAAATTTAGATTTTTCGTCTCGGTCTTTTTCTTAGATATGGTCAGGTTTTTGTTTTGCTTTTGTAGTTTATTTGTCTGTGGTTCTAGACCTTCCCTGCTCTAATCATCAGCTGTGCTTTTTGGAAGATATTTACTTGTTCTTTCTTCACATATTAGAATAGAAAATCAGAGCCACTAAGCAGCCTTTTGTTTGGCTGCTGCTTTGGACTGCCCGCCTCAGGCTCATTTCTAACCCACATTATACTCAGGAAGAATCCAATAAACCTTTTCCCACCATGATCAAAGTCTGTAGAGACTTTATTGCTGGAGCCAGGTTTAAAAAAAACAACACAATTATACTGGTGAACTGTTAATAATTAAATGTGATATTTTAAAGTATAAACATCAGTTTAGATAGATTTGTAAAAAAAAAAATACAGGCCTAATGTTGAACCCATGAGACACATGAAATGGGAAAAATGCATACTAAAGGATTTTTAATACTAAGCAGCATTGATGGTCAAATTGAAATATCGCACATCCAAGGGAACCATACGTGTTTTATTGACTCCCTGGGATGGATGACGTTTGCTGCTAAGTCACCAGACACCAAAAGAAGTTTGTTGAGAAAAAAAAAAACCCACGCAACCAACCAACCAAACAAAGAAAACTGGTTTTAGAATGAACACATAGTATAGACTAAATCGCCCTCTGCACTTGGTTTCAAAGGACAGGTGAGTGACTTACAGCTTTGTCATCTCCAGGAGCCTCGGTGTTGGATACAATTAGGTTCTGCTGCGCAAAATCATCAGGAAGAACTTTTTGTTGCTTCGTTGCCTGGGAGACACTACAGACTAACGTAAACAGGATACCTGGAGAAAGGAAGAAGGTGGGGAGCTCCCTTAAGTCTCTCATCCATAATGGAAAACTGTGTTTACAGCATCCGATATGAATAACTCATGGATCAAAAGGTGTAAAACACCTTCAAGAACATATGATTGCATGTGTCAAAGCATGTGTGTCCTTAACAGAAATGCTACAAACACATACCATGTGGTATGTTTCTCCAGTGAGTTGTATATTCTGTTGAGTATACACATAGGTACATTTAAACCTATGCATTAAATATATGAGCTGGTGAGGGGGCTTGCTAGGAAAAAGTGCATGCCACCAAAACAGATGACCTTTGTTCCCTCCCAGAATTCCACAGATAGAAGGAGAGAACAGGCTCCTGAAAATTGTTCTCTGACCTTCACCTAGGGCACATTCCCACTAAAATAAAAGAGATAAAAGCAAAAACTTTAAATATATTAAATATATTGTGTTACATATGCTAAACATAAAGAAATATATCTATGTCCAAATCATCACCCATAAGTATTAACATTCATCCTAAGAATATGTTTTAGCATTGTTTTAAAGGTCCTGGAATAAATTCAAGAAGGACTTACAAAACAGCAAGGCTATGCCCAACAGTATAGCAAGAATAGCCCATGGTCCGAGTCTCACGTCGGCATAGCCTGTCCTTTCTCCTGAGCGGGCTGTGCAGTCACTTTCAGTGATGCAGTCACAGATGAGGACAGTCAGTGAAGTGACTGAGGACAGACCGAGTCTGTCTGTAACTCGGATAGGAACTGCGTAGGATCCGAATGAAGGGTCATTCTGATAGGACAGACGAGCTGCTGTATCTGAATCAACAATAAAACCAGGTGATACAAAAGCCACCAACATCTCTTCAGCAAAAACATCCAGTGATCGAACAGATACCCATTTCCCTGAAAAATGGACACTCGTGGGTTATCATAAATGCTGCGATCCTGGCTGTGGCTGAACTGACTGCCTCTGACCCGCAGCCACTGCAAACGCACTGCGGTTACAGTTAGTCTAATGCTGCCTGCAATGGTTAGCGTGCACTGCCTGACAGGATTTTAAAGTCCCCTAGGTGACGCCTCTGAGGGCTTTTCCAGAGAAGTTTAAGTGATGAATGCAGGTGGCACTATCCTGTGGGCCGGGCTCCTGGACGAGAGAGAGAGAGAGAGAGAGAGAGAGAGAGAGAGAGAGAGAGAGAG